ACTATAATTTGTCATGAGCAAACTCAGAACTCTGCTCTTCTGACATGTTGTTCTGTCCTAAACTAAGGGCAAAGCTTTAAACTTTACATTTCCTAACCAAAGTAAGCCCATGAGTAGTTTACAACTGTAAAAATATTTTAGATTTATTACAAGATTCAAAGTATATACGTCCTATCTCAGCGGTGTTCTACCAAAGAATTACCAATTTAAAAATTTTCTACCAAAAATAAATCAATAATCCTCACCCGTGCTGTCGAACTCAGCACATTTTTTAGCCTTGAGAATTGCCGCAAGCTCACCGAGCTCTCTCTGCTGCTCTGAAGAAAGCCCGCTGCCTATAAGTACAAGAGGCTGTCCCCTCCGCCGACAAGTGCTCACCTGTCAGTGAGAAAGGAGATGCCACGGTGTGAAAAATATTTAAAACCTTCGCCTTATGTAAGCTTGAATGTCATCACTTAGCTTACTCTATCTAGTACTTCTCAACAATTTCCACTGACTCATCACTCAAAACCTCAATGCATTTGAATACTTACTTTTCTGTTTCTTTGTTTCTCGCAATAAAACATCATCCGGGACGGCTCTCTATACCCAGAGCATCTTGTTTCCTTGATTCTAAATTGGGTCTCTCTAGGGTTTTACAGCTTAATTCTGTCACCAGTAAGCCTTTTTGTTTTTTAAAGTAACACAAAATACCCACTTAAAATTATTAATTCCCTATCTCCCCTCCACTAGCTTATTCCAATAGATTTAAACTCAACTTGGTCTATTTAGTATAAACTGAGATTATATGAAAAATAAAAAAAAACACTAAGACTTCTAGAACAGCAGCGATCTCAAAGACAGAAACAAATTTTTGACATCAAAACGGTTACCTTTCAAAACCAAAACAATGAAAACAGACAAGAGAATTCAAAAGTTAGATCAGATTCACAACTGTAATAAGTCCACGAAGCTCATGTAAAGGAAAGACAGCTCTACTAACAAAGACTAATATTACAAGAGACAAAAAAGACAAAATAAGGAGAAGGCACCAATGGATAGCATTAGAGATTAGAAGTGAACGATTAAAACAAAACAGTGGGATGACTTCAGTAGTAGACAACAGAAATTTAATAAATGGAAATTGGAATGAGTTGGCCAAAGCTACCTGATAAATGAGAAGCAACGATCTAACAATGAAGAAAGAAAAGCTAAATCAACATTACTGCATGAAAGGACACAAAGTCAAACACAATACTGTTATTTACAAATACGAGACACAGGGCCTGCCACCATGTGAGTGTATATGTACACTGGACATTTGGGCTCTCAAAGCTCCAAAGAACATGAGGGAAACCCTGATGATATGATCACCAGTAGGTTCAGCAACTAGATTAGAGAAAGTTAGTATTTAAATAGTCACATATCAGAGTAGTGATCATTTATCCAGTCTGCTGCCCTACAAATTGCACCTAAATTGTTGGCTACATTTATAAACAGATCAATCTCAACAATTCATTTACCTGAAATACATTAAATGAGTCTACTATGTGTGAAGTAAGTATGTATACAAGACATTTTTTCAAAGACTTTTCATAAAAAGTCTTTTTAAATGGTGACATTCAGCACCTAAAAGTTCAGCTTCCTGGATTGACTGACTCCTCTAACGCTCAATTTGCAATGGTTATTTTTACTGGACGTGCTATGCACATCACACACACATCTACATCACATGTCTGCCTATGGATCTTTCATATTCACTAAATTATAAGATGATGTGACCATGTGTACCCTAACACTGTAAACACTGCATATCATGAAAACAGTTCAGTGTACTTTATGGATTATTCAATTACTATACAATGATAATATTAAAAAAAAAGCATTTCAATAATTCTTGTCAGTTATACAAATAAGTGCCCTTAAAATAGCTCTAAATGGAACACATTACTTTCCAATTTATATAACTCCACTCCATCTAAATTAGTTCTATACA